TAAACTTCGCCCACGTTAAATCACATGGATCAAGTCATCCACTTTCGAAGAAGACTTGTCCGAGCCCGCAGCGACTCGCCCGCGCCCGTAGCGACTCACCCGCGCCCGCAACGACCTTCGCCCACGTCTTCAACAAACTTTATTAAGCCCATGAAGTTCGCCAAATAACTGTTTTGAGAGCTATTTTCAGGGGAATAACTGCTCTCCATTATCGCCTACTTTAATGGCCACTTAATTCACAATTAAGGGCGAAACTTTCTCTTTTAGTCTATAAAATAAGAGGAGATCATCCATTTTACAAGTTTGAAAGCCTTAGCCAAGAATACACACGCATAAAGAGATTATAATCGCACTAGCGATTCTTTCTATTGAGAGAAGCTAATGAGAGAAGACTGAGTTATCTTTCAAGCAAACCACCTCTTATAAATAGCAAAAGACCCGTCGTCTTAGTCGGTGCGTCAACGGAGTACAAGATCGACGCTCCATTGACACACAGAAAAAGAACCCTCCCCAGAAAATATAAAATTTTCTTTTATTTCACTCTTATTCTTTTTATTGTAATCAAGTTAATTACAATATTAAAAAGACGCGAAATAGGATGCCGACTCTGCTGGTGATTACCTTCTCCTCCAGTGAGAATGTTGTGTCGCATACTGACACTAAGACCCTCGGGTTTTTTGCTAAAACGTTGTTCATTAAATTTGACCAAACAAAGTTCAAGGAATTTATTTTCACGAACCAAATCTCTTCAACAGCAACTATACGTAGTTATCATAGAATTCGCCGCAGTGCGAATCTCGGGTGTAAAATGACCCACACGTGTAAAAAGGCTACCTTTGCTAAATGTAGTTTGAGTTTCACTGGAAGCCAAACGAACTTCGCCAAGAGCGAAGGAAATCCGATTCTCGACTCGAGCGGAGATCAAGATGTTGATCTCTTGCTTTAGTCTTTGACCCCTTTAGTAGTTCGATTTAAAGCGTTTTGCGACGTTCACTATGCTTCCCTGATAGAAGCTAAGAATAGGGGTAAATTCCTCATGAAAATTCCCTCAAGGAAATGATATTCATTGATGATTCTACCGGACAAAAACCTAGCCATCGTCGTCGTAAGCAACATTCGCTTTTCAAGGTCAAGACCAGCGAAGTTGACACCAATATTGATCTAAAAGAACTCATAACTCTAAAGAGAGCTCGCCAATGTTAGCATTGTGCGACCTTCAAAAGATTTGCCAATGCAAATGATCAGTCTTCAACAGTCTCGGTCATATGTTCCTGAGCTTTTAAGAGGTTCGGACTAAGTGACAACGATGTTCTTAAAGGGGTAAAATGCAAGTACTCACTGTCAACATGATAAGTGTTACTTTCAGAGATGAGGAAAGTACATATAGCTTGTCCGATCCAATATACTCTCTTGGCATTGAATACATACTACCACAAGCTGATGGCGTGTATCACAACACCAGGCTAAGAAGAAGAGCGACAATTCTTTTCGACTACTCTTCCATCCTAATGCAGACATCACAGTCTTCGTCTCAACTAAATCGACCCACTTCTAGCGACGCCAACTCTGCTATAGCATCAAATATAACCCTAGTTCAAGTCAAGAACAAAGGTGGAAGGTAGATATAACAGATCGAGAAGATATTCTCGCTGGCAACTCAAAAGGACACAGATGAGTGGATAGAACGTCTGGAAGAGATGATTAAACAACTCTTATTGACATCTCAACCTCAGCCAAATTTTTCAGAAGGGAAAAGACCAATCGGCGAAAATCCCTCTTATGTAAATCAATTACACCAAGATGACAATTCTGAACACGCAAGATCAGAAGCAACGCTACCTTTAAAGCCAAATAAGGAAGCAAATGCTTTCGAGAGTATTCAGAAGCAGCTCAATGTTCTTTCTTAACGAATAGAGCTTAAGAAGTTTGGAATCATTTGGATTTTGACCTTATCCCGTTAAGTGGGACATGATTCCCTACCCAATGATGTTCAAGCCACCTACGTTACATATATTTGATGGAAAAGGTTCTCTGAACCAACATATTTACTACTTCCATCAGCAAACTAGAAATGTAATGAGTACCAATACTACTAAGGTACGTATGTTTATTGGCACCCTTTAGGGGGTAGCTTTTGATTGGTTTCAAATTTTGCCCTAAGGTTCAATCAAATCTTGGGCAGATTTAGAATCAAAGTTCCTCTCATAATTCTACGAGGAGCAATCCATTGTTACCATAACCAAACTCCTTGTCGAGAAGCAAAGCGGAAGTGAGGCGGTTAGAGAATACATTGAGAGATACAACAATATGACATTGCGATGTCGAGACATGCCTCTACCGATGCTACTTCAAACTTGTCGTCATAGTTTCGTGGCACGAAGTAAAGCTCATATGGGTGTCGTTACTACCCACACTTGAAACAATTTGATAAAACAGGCTGTGATAGCAGAAAAATCATCAGAGTGTTTCGACAAGTTCGAGCCTCGCACCAACTTCAAGGGTAATAAAGGCAAACAAGGGGAGACGTCACAACCGAAAGCCAAACAGACTTTTGCAGTTAGAGTCTAGAATTTCAACAACCACCAGGAAAGAGAGCCAAGGAAGAACTTTTAGCAGAGTTATTCATTCAAGGATGAACATACAGTCAGTATCTTTTATGTACTCAACAAAGGGAATCGTTTGAAGCTCTCAGAAGTTCGATGCCCTGAAGAGGTCGAAAAGACAGATGACCTCAACTGCTTTTATCATTGAATGTTGGGGCACCCGACGAAAAACTGGTACATCCTCAATGATAATATCCAGATATTCGTTGAATCAAGGATCCTTAAGCTTAAGCCTGAGCAAAAGAAAGTCACTGTCAATATAGTGGCTCTCCAATTTGGCTCAATGCCAGAAATTCAAGCTCAAAACTGCGTTGAGAATGGAGGTGGTAAACTATGACCCCAGAACCAGCAAAGCGAAGGCTTGATCCCCCTCATCACGACGAGAGACGAATTAATGTGGGTGCATCATGACCTTCTTTCGAGATGAGAACTGGACTCTTTAGAAGTCCAAGAATAAGCGTAAGATGAAGACTTGCAACGCTATCTCCGTAATCATTAAAGAAGAATCTGTACACGTTATTTCACTCACTAACTCAAAGGGAGAGAAAGTGGTCATTATAGGAATCAGATTTGGCAAAGATTACTTAGGGAATTACAATTAGCTAGGAACGTCCAAACATCCTGAACCGGCTAAGCAAAAGAAGACTCAGTTCGATAAGGCCTTGCAGCGTCCTCCAAATGACCCTAAGGCCTCACTTAAATACGACATCATGGCTCAACTGACCAACACTCTAGCTCGTATGATCTTATTTGAACGTTTACGTTTGTCTAAGGACGCGAGAGAAGCTTTGAAAGGAGCCCTGAATGATATTGAGGCGTTCTTCGGCCGTATAACCGAACCTCGTCAAGATGAAGAATACGAGCAATGCTATCAGTGTCAACAGCAGACGCCTTATATCATCTTCACTCCGGAGGATATGCTTGTTAAAAATCACCATCACAACCGACCCCTTTACTACACTGGGTATATAGGGTCATCAAGGGTCGAGAGAATTCACATCGATCCAGGCTCCGCGTTGAGCATAATTTTGCGGAGGCTCTTGAGCTTTTTGGGAGTCCCCCTTCACAAGCTCTCAAAAACTTCTGCAATTATACTCGGCATCAACTTCAGCAATAGCCATCCTTTGGAAAGATCCGACTTAAGTGTCAGATCAAAAATTTAAAGGCGAAAGTGACTTGCTATGTCATCGATATCGAGACACTGTACAACCTTCTCCTCGGATGACCTTAGATCCATTCCAAGATGCTCATCCCTTCAACATTTCAGTAGTGTTTCAAATACATTGATGGATTGAGGGTCCGACAAAGAG